CCTTGCAGGAGGACAAGCTCACGAAGTACTGCGAGGGTGGATACATCGAGCGCTCGCTGAGCACCGAGGCGCCGTGCGTGCCGCCGATCACCAAGAGCTGCGACTCCATCATCCCAGACCTCCCGCAAGAGAGCCAAGTCAGCAACGATAGCGCAGAAACAGCACTGGAGGATGGCATCGGCTACCCGACCATGGAGTTGCTGAGAGTGCCGCCGCCGTCTGCCGACGACCACGGCTTCAGTATGAGTGCCACTCTGTAGGACGAGAAGCTCGACGGAAGCTTCGAAGACGGAGGGTGGCAGGCGAACGCAACCGATAAGGCCACCTTGCTATGTCCCGACAATGTGAGGGTGCGCCCGCAGGCGTCTCGATGCTGCGCAGGACATGTGTTACGGCAGAAGGCTAGAGGTAAACCCACCCTTCATTGCATGGTGTGCCGCCAGTCTTTCTCAACACGTGTCAGTACCGTGTACCTGTGGCGCTCGTGCGCGTGGCGTATTCGCAAAAGTTGCGCGACAGGCGCAACTGCACAGCCCGGCAGCGACAGCAACGATTGAACGACTGAACGACTGCACGAGACGTGCAGCCGCGATGCTTTGCCCCTCGCCGCGCGGGGCTGGTGCCGCCGTGCATGCCAGCCCCCCGCCGTTCCTGTCCTAGCGAGGTCCCGTCCCGCGCCAGAGCTGCGTCGTGGCAATACCCCCCTCGAGGGGCGGCGGATCTCGTCACGAAGGATCTCTGGACCCCCTTATAACCAAGCGCTGTTCATCATCCTACAGTCAAGCCGCATAGCAAGGATGGGCAACCTTCCCCAGGATGCCCTGTTGCATCCTCGCCGCCTCGGTCCATCTTTGACTACTTTCGTCGGCCGCGCCCCGCCCAGAAAGGCTCGAAACGGCCTTCCAAGGCCCCTGCATCCTTACCGCGCAGCCATCTGATACGGGTCGACTGTACTCTTGACCCTCCTACCCCCCACCTCCCAGGGGGGCCCAGGTGTACTAATCTTGCCTGGTGGGCCCCGTCTGGGTAATGCGTTCCCGAGACGGTCTCTGAGGCGCAGGACGCTAGCCTTCGGCGTAAGCCTCGGGGGCACCCCTGCCCTGAGCCCGATCCCATTTCTTGGTGTTTCCCTCCGAGCCTGGTTTTTTTTATCTCGTGGTTGACATATTCTAGAGGTTCTTTGGAGCTCTGATTTACCAGCCTCGAACGTATCCCTACCCTAAGATTGACACGCCAAAAGGCGATGACAATCTTAGGCATCCGCCCTCAGAAAATAAGGGAATCCCTAAGACTGGCATCGTGATGAGGAGGTGCCCAGCACAGGGATAGGGACATGCTCCAGGCTGGAGCTCTGATCCTGATCCTGATCCCACTGGGGCCGGGAGCCCCCCAGAGCTCCCCAGAAAAGATCTCCCGTCGCCGAGGGTCTCTTCGCTCTCCGGGTTTTGGACGCTACCAAGTTACCTCGTAGAGCTCTTCGGGCCAGAGGAACAACTCGTGGAGATGTCCTTAGCTAGCAACTCGTAGAGCTTCTCTTAGCTAGTTGCTGGAAGCTTAAGAGCAATTCCGGGGCGCTGGAGAGGCGGCCTGGCCCTGCCAGGGCCGTGGCCGGGCGGCCCGCACTCGTGGCGGTGCGCCCCGGCCGCTGCCGGCAGCGCCGCGGGCCCGCCGCGGCCCGCCGCCGAGGTCGTGACCTTCAACAGCCCGAGCGGGCTGCGCGCCAGTCGCCCCGCCGCCGCACGATGGCCATGCCCTGGCCCTCGGAAGGGGGAGGGGAAGGGGCGAGGGCGAGGGCCGTCGGGTGGGTGAAGCGGGGGGGGGGGAAGGGGAAGAGGAGCGAGGGTTGAGAGGGGGGGGATGGGGAGGAGGAGGAGGAGGAGGTGAAGGGCGGATCGCGGATGCCGGAGGTCGAGGAGGCGGATGGAGCATGACGAGGCGGAGGGGGAGGAAGTAGGCGGAGCAAAAAGGAGGAGGCGGTTGAGGTCAGGAGAAGAGGACGAGGAAGAGGTGGATGAGAGGGGGGCAGGGAAGCTGATGAAGAGGGGGATGAGGATGCGATGGAGGAGGAGGAGGAGAACGAGAAGGAAGACAAGGAGGACGAGGAGGAGGAGAAGGAGAGGAGGAGGAGGAGGAGGAGGAGAGGAGGAGGAGGAGGAGGAGGGGAGGGGGAGAGGGAGGGGGAGTGGGAGGGGTAGGGGGAGGGGGAGGAGGAGTTGCGATAGGAGGAGGAGGAGGAGCATGAGGAGGAGGAGGAGAAAGAGGTGAGGAGATGAGGAGAGTGAGACGGTGAGAGGTGAGGAGGTGAGGAGGTGAGGAGGAAAGAGGAGGTGAGGAAGTGAGGACGAGGAGGAGGAGGAGGAGGAGGAGGCGGAGAAGGAGAAGGACGAGGAAGGAGGGAGGAGGAGGAGGAGGAGGAGGAGGAGGAGGAGGAGGAGAGAGGAGGAGGAGGAGGAGGAGAGGAGGAGGAGGAGGAGGAGGAGGAGGAGGAGGAGGGAGGAGGAGGAGGAGGAGGAGGAGGAGGAAGAGGAGGGGAGGAGGAGGAGAGAAGGAGGAGGAGGAGGAGGAGGAGGAGGAGGGGGAGGACGGGGATAGGAGGAAGCATAGGAGGTGGATGAGGATGGAGGAGGATTGAGGAGGAGGAGGAGGAGGAGGAGGAGGAGGAGGAGGAGGAGGAGGAGGAGGAGAAGGAGGAGGAGGAGGGGGAGGAGCAGGAGCAGGAGGAGGAGCAGGAGGATGAGGAGACGTAAAAGAGGAAGGGGGGACGAATGGGGTGATGAGAAGAGGGGGATGCTCGGGAGCAGCCTAAACGCGACGAGCTGGCAAGGTTCCAATACAAGTTCACGGACGGCTTTGTTGTTTTCAGGTGCCCCAGTCATATGTGTTGTAGTTTGTTTGTTGCTGCAGAATGTGTTGTGGTGGAACATTGGGCGCATATGTGCACTGTCAAGGCTTATGTCCGCCAGTCGCGTTGCCAACCACCATGTTTCGCGACAAAAGGCATATCGCGTATCCCCGAGCCCGAACATGGTAGCTAATATCCAGGGGTCAGCCCTTCCAGATCCTGGGCCACCTGAGTCTTCGATTGATTTTGATTGGGTACCATGCCCAAGCAATAGCTTGTGACACAAAATGTGCCCGAGGATCAGGAAAGGCCGACCACCCAGATTGGGCACAGAGGGCACGTCGCTCCACAGAACTTTCTTATCCCCCAGTGGCCCTAGGGACCCACAGAAGCTCTGGGGTAACATAGGACCCTCAGAGATCGACGAGTCATGCACCCCAAGATGATGTCTTATAGCGAGATTACCTATTGTATGCGCCTGCTGTATCTTTCTGGGAAACGTGCGCCCCTGGGCCCCATCCGCCCAGTGACTCGACGATGCTCGAAGAGTGTTGCTACATGCGCATCTTGGGCCGGGTGCCACTGCCGCAGCCCTCGCGCACAAGTGGACCATCCTGGCCAGGACCTGCAATCGGCGCCACCAAGATATATTCATACAGTCCGGCCGCTGAAGACGAAACCCTTTCCGTTGGGAAGGGACTCAGTGTTCGTTAATTGTTCTACACTTCGTCTTATGTGTTCCGAAGGTTTTCGACGGGAAGGCGAAATTTCACGTATGATAAACGGAGGTCTCGTTCCTCATTCAGGGTTCCTGATGACAGCGTTTCGGCTGTACTGTGTACTATGGGCGCGTCGTCCTCGCAAGGGCAACGCGCGAGCAGAGACATGTCATAGCATAAACTCCGTGGGGCGCGCTTTCTGGCCATACCGCTCGGGAAACGATGTGCGACGGAGGGTACCCTAGTGATCTTCGTGTTTGTTGGATGTTCTTGTGCCTCCTGGGGGATACCCCTGGATGTTCTGTGTGTGTTCTGGCAGGCGGAGGGCCCGGTGTTCTTGAAGAATGTTCTTCTGTCCTAGGTCCAGTTTTAACATTTGTGTACCGCCGGGCGCGCGCTTCCAACATCAGCGCGTAGTATTAGTACGTCCTTTCTGAGCCCCATTCCGGGCTGGGCCAGGACGAGGATAGACCCGTTCCTGAGCGTTCCGGAACTCTCTCAGAGCGTTCCTGAACGCTCTGAGAAGGCCGCGTCGCCCCAGACAATCTCCAGATCCGCCAGCTCTCAGAGATTCTAGATTTATCTTCATCCGTTTTTATCCTCGTCCTGGCTTCGTCTTATAGCACGTCCTGTTAAGCCCCCTTCAGCACGCCTCGTTGCGGCCCGCTTCGACGGTGAGGCCGTCCCCGTCCCCGCTCGATGACCCTCCCCGGCCTGCGCGAGCGCGCGGCTCGACGAGAGAGGAGCCCCAAAGGAGGGGGGGATGCCCTCCCTCGTCCTCGTCGTCGTCGTCGTCGGCGTCGTCGTCGTCGTCGGCGTCGGCGTCGGCGTCGGCGTCGGCGTCGGCGTCGGCGTCGGCGTCGGCGTCGGCGTCGTCGTCGCGGTCGTCGTCGTCGTCGTCGTCGTCGTCGTCGCGGTCGTCGTCGTCGTCGTCGTCGTCGTCGTCGTCGTCGTCGTCGTCGTCGTCGTCGTCGTCGTCGGCCTCGCGGGCTGGGACCCTGGGCTGCAACTTCGCGGATGCGGGCGTTTTCTCGCAGATGCCCCGCGCGGAACGCATCCGCGCGACCTCGGATCCGCGGCCTCGCGCCCGGGGAGTCCAGACCGCGAGGGCGCGGGCACGGTCGGGAATTTTTAGGCAGCGTGTCGTTCCGCCGGTTCTGGCCCACCAGGTTTCGGCGAGACACGCTACAGTCGGGGCCCTGAAGAAGGAACCCTTTTCGTTGGGGAGGGGCTCCGCGTTCCGTGAGTGTTTCGCAGCTTGCCTCAGGTTTCCCTTATGTTTTCGATAGGAGATCGAAGTTTAACTTATGGAAAAAAGGGGCCTCGTTCCTTATCTAGGGTTCCTTAGGTCAAGCCCCCGACTGTATCCGCTCCCAGTGGGGAAGATTTTCCAGGAACCTTCCTCTCCAGTGCCCGCCTGCTTCATGCTGAGAGCAGCCGTCGGCTTCTGCCTTCTCGGTGGTTCGTGGCGTTTCTCAGGGGGGGAGCGGGGCGGCCTTGGCCATCGGAGGCGGCCGCAGTGCGGACGTTGATAGGCGCCTGCAGGAGGAGCGCAGACTTGCAGAGGGCCCTGCGCCTGCTGGACGAAATCGAGGACCGCAGGGGAGGAGCAGGGGGTGAGGATGATAGGAGCTGCTCTACGAAGAGGAGGAGGAGGAGGAGGAGGAGGAGGAGGAGGAGGAGGAGGAGGAGGAGCAGCAGCAGAGAGCTCGAAAGAGAAGGAGGCGGATAGTGATGGAGGGGAGGAGGAGGAGGAGGAGGAGGAGGAGGAGGAGGAGGAGGAGGAGGAGTCCTCCGCCTTCTCTGCTGCGACCGCCGCGCCGCACCTGGGAGCCCCGCGCCCTTCCCCTCCCCTGGGATCTCCGGCAGGCCGTGCCGGAGGCGGGCCCCTGACCCAGGAGAGGCGGGGCGAGCCGAGGCGGGCCTCAGCTCCCCACGGGGGGTGGGGTTCCTGCTCGGCCCACCTCTGCACCACAGGCGCCGCCAGCCCCCACCTCCCCCCCCCCGTCCCGAGGCGCATCGTCTTGCTGAGCATGCGTATTTCCTTCGTCTCTCTCTCTCTCTCTCTCGGACGCTCGGTCACTGCTCGGCCTCCCCCCGCAGGTCGCTGAGAGGGGGGGGGGCTCGAGGCTCGAGGGCATCGGCGCTCCGATGCGAGCTCGTCCGCGTCAGCTTGTCTCCCCGGAGGCGGGCGGCGGGGGTACCGTGGGGCCTCCGGCTTCTGGGCTGCCGGCGTCACCTCCCAGGGCCTTCCGTCGAAGAGCAGGCAGGTGCCGCATGGCAGGCCCATGCGGCCTTCTTGACGGCGGGGGGCGAGAGTCAGGGGGCGAGGGGGCGGCGGGGGGCGAGAGGGCGGCGGGGGGCGAGAGGGTGGGGGCGAAAAAGGATGAGATGCCGACAAGAGGCCCCTGAGGGCTCGTGGGGGCAAGGCCATTTCGAAGTTGGCCCACAGCAGCCCTGACCTCCCCCGTGGCCCAAGCGAATTCGCTAGGGGAGGGAGGGGCCGAGGAGGAGGAAGAGGAAATAATGACCAGTGGAAACCCAAGACGCAACTTCGGTGTTGCAAGAGTCCCTCCCTCCACGTTCCCTCCCCACAGGCTCAAAGAATGTGCCATCACTGCGGGAATTCGCCCATTAGAAGACAACCGTCTGATGATCCTCAATCGTGCGAGAAGAGCATTCCTGGGACCTCAACGCCGCGGATCAACGTGACTGCTGCGTCCTGACAATCCTAAATCGTGCCAGAAAATCATTTCTGGGACTTCCACTCCGCGAGCCAACACCCTTGTTGCGCCCTGGCCATCCTAAATCGAAGAGGACACCATTCCTGGGGCCTTGACCGAAGGAATCCTTGAAACTGTGTCGCAAACTTGTAAGATGAAGTTGCGCGGCGCTCAGGCGAGAGCTACATTTTCAAAACCACCCGCCCCCCATCCGTGAAGCTGTTGCAAACTTTAATCACGATTCTTAGGCTTACGCCACACCGCCGACCCCTTGTTTATGCCAATCGGGGGGCAGTAGAAGCTGCGAAGGGGTGAAAAGGCGAGTGATATTTGTTTGGTGTCTGTTCGCCGCCACTGCCAGAGGGTCTCGGGCAGTTCCGCGGGGGTGTCCGAGCGGACGGCGACACCGCGGGCGGTCGTGGTCTCATCTGGGGCCATCTGAGAGGCATAATGGAGCCAGGTTGGGCTCGGGAATGTCTTCGAGCCGTTTCGGTAGCGGTCGGGAGTTTTTTTGGGGGACTGTCCAGGAGTCATTATGGGTCAACTTGGCCATGTGCGAGGCCACGGCGCGTGCAAAGGGTGTGCCGGCATGGGGTATACTTGCATGCGAATCTTCCCACTGGGCCCCACGGTGGACGTATTCTGGAGCCACGACACGATCGACGTGTGTGTGCGCTTGGGGTTGGAAGTTTACGGGACCGCGGGTACTGGGGCTATGGTTGGAGCGCGCCGTGGAGCCACGAAATCTATGAGGGACGTGCCCAATGTTCGCGGGGAACCGCGCGTATACTCGGGTTTTGGGGCCTTTCATTCAAGTTGCCGCGTGCGGGGTGTGCCAAATTGGAGGCATGTTCACTAGATGGAAGCGCCACGGCACCTCGATTTCTGCGGGGTCGGCGGATGCTGGACGTAAGTTGTGGATTTCGAAACTGGGGCTGATCCGTTATTGGGCATGCTGAGGTATTCGGAGGAGTGGGAGGAGGAGGATGAGGAGGAGGAGTGGCCCGTCTTGAGGCCCTCTTGGGCTCGGAAAAGCCTCGTGAACCGCTCGTCCCGGCCGTGCTGCGCTCGTCCCGGGCCCCCCCGCTCCCCTCCAAATCGGCTCTCTTGGGCCGTCTTGGGGACCTCTTGGGCCGTTTTGGGGCCGTCCTGGGCCGTCTGGAGGCCGTCTTGGGAGCCTCTTGGGCCATCTTGGGGCTATCTTTGGGGCCTCTTTGGCCGTCTTGGAGCGTCGGGAAGCCGGAAAGGCGGAAAAACAAAAAGCATCGAAAAACACCATGGAAAATCAACAATTTTAGACTCTGGGGGCGCTCTTGGGAGGCTTGTTTGGGACCTCGGGGGCCGTCTTGGAGACCTCTTGGCCCGTCTTGGGGCCATCGTGGGCGTCTTGGAGGGGTCGTTTGGCGTCTCGAAGCCTTCGTGGGCCGTCTTGGAGGCCTCTTGGGTGCTTCTTGGCCCGTCTTGAGGCCCTCTTCGACCCGGAAAAGCTCTGGAACCGCTCGTCCCGGCCGTGCTGCGCTCGTCCCGGCTCCCTCCCCCCCTCCAAGTCGGCCCTCTTGGGCCGTCTTGGGGACCTCTTGGGCCGTCTTGGGGCCGTCTTGGGCCGTCTGGAGGCCGTCTTGGGGGCCTCTTGGGCCATTTTGGGGCTATCTTTGGAGCCTTTTTGCCCGTCTTGGAGCGTCGGAAAGCCGGAAAGGCGGAGAAGCAAAAAACGTCGAAAAACACTATGGAAAATCAACAATTTTAGACTCTTTGGGCCCTCTTGGGAGGCTTGTTTGGGACCTCGGGGGCCGTCTTGGAGACCTCTTGGCCCGTCTTGGGGCCATCGTGGGCGTCTTGGAGCGGTCGTTTGGCGTCTCGGAGCCTTCGTGGGCCGTCTTGGAGGCCTCTTGGGGGCTTCTTGGCCCGTCTTGAGGCCCTCTTGGGCCCGGAAAAGCCCTGGAACCGCTCGTCCCGGCCGTGCTGCGCTCGTCCCGGCCCCCTCCCCCCCTCCAAATCGGCCCTCTTGGGCCGTCTTGGGGACCTCTTGTGCCGTCTAGGGGCCGTCTTGGGCCGTCTGGAGGCCGTCTTGGGGGCCTCTTGGGCCATCTTGGGGCTATCTTTGGGGCCTCTTTGGCCGTCTTGGAGCGTCGGGAAGCCGGAAAGGTGGGAAAGCAAGAAACGTCGAAAAACACTCGGGAAAATCAACAATTTTAGAATCTTTGGGCCCTCTTGGGAGGCTTGTTTGGGACCTCGGAGGCCGTCTTGGAGACCTCTTGGCCCGTCTTGGGGCCATCGTGGGCGTCTTGGACCGGTCGTTTGGCGTCTCGGAGCCTTCGTGGGCCGTCTTGGAGGCCTCTTGGGGGCTTCTTGGCCCGTCTTGAGGCCCTCTTGGGCCCGGAAAAGCCCCGTGAGTCGCTCGTCCCGGACCCCCCCCGCTCGCGCCGGACCCCCCCCCCCCCTCCAAATCGACCGGACCGGGCTCCCGGGGGAGGGGTTTGGGGAGGGGGAAGCATCTCACACGCCGATGATCCCCAAGGGGTCGGCGGATTTCGCGGGGCGCTCAGGCGAGAGCCACATTTTACAAACCATCCGCCCTTCATCCGTGAAACAATTGCGAACATTAAGCACCAGTGCGTGTGTATGTGTGTGCGGCGCTGAGGAGAGAGCAGTATTTTGAGCACCACCCTCCCTCCATGCGTGAAGGTGTTGCAAGCTTTTACCTCGCATGCGCGCGGCGCTCAAGAGAAAACCAACTTTTGAAATCGGCCCGACCTCCATCCGTGAAACCGTGTGTCCGGCGTTTGGCGAAAACCGCCGTTTGAAAACCACCGGCCCTTCATCCAGGAAGTTGCTGTAAATTCGTGACGCTTCGCACAACCCAACCAGCCCATCCCGGAACGATCGCCAGATGAGTTGCCTCGATCAGGGAAATGTAGAGTGCGACAACTGCTTTGGAAGCGCTTCCGAGGCGCAATGACGGCGGGAAGAGCTGTTGAGTGATGTAACAAATCCTCCCATGCCACACCGGCGTGATTGGGGTTTGCCTGGGGCCTTCTTGGAGTTATCTTTGGACCCTCTCGGGGCAATGGGGGGGGCAGAACGAGGAGGAATAGAAGGAGCAGGGAGGGCGCAGGAAGGACTGGGAGAAGGAACGGACGAAAACAAGGAGGATGAGGAAGCAGCCTTGCAGATGTGCTGTTGTGAGGGGTTATTTAACCGCTTCGCTCATTCCGCCGGCCCATATTGCGCGCCTTGAAAGACTTTTGGGGCTTCCTGGGGGCCTCTTCGGGCGCAAGGCTTGAATTCTCGGTTCGTGTTCCCTCTCTTGGGCCCCTCTTTGGGGCCGTTTTGGAGCTCTCTTGGGCCGTTTCTGGGCCATGTCGAGATGTCTTGTGACTTTCTTGGGGACCCCTTGGGCCATCTGGGGGCGGTCTTGGGGGCCCCTGGGGCCATCTTGGTGCTTCGGACGCTCGGAAAGGCGATTGACAAACATCAGAGCGGGGGGCCGAACGGTCATTCATTGTCCCTGGGTGCGTGGCTGAATAAGGATTTCGTGGTCAGAATTCTGCTTGTTGCGTTGTTGTTGAATGTTGATAACTAAACAAACTTTATGGTTGGACCCCTTACAGGCGCCCTGGCGCTCTCGCCGAGGCGCCGGCTACATTTTCATTGAAAATGAGGCTCACGCTCGAGCAGTTTGGGGGACCGCCAAAACCGGCCCCCAAACAACAACAACGCTCCCGCTCTAGATTTCCTTGTTTTTTACTCAGGGCTAGTGCTCTTGCTCGCCGCCGAAAGCCGCCGTCCTAACAAAACCAGCGCTCCCGCTCGAGATTTCCTCCCGTTTTACCTTGAATTGGCGCGCTAGTCTTTCTCTCATCGGCGCCGCCCCCAGCAAAAACAACGCTCCCGCTTGAAGCCTCCTCCCTTTTTTACTCAAGGCGGTGCTCCTCCTCGCCGCCGAATACCGCCGCCCCGACAAAACCAGCGCTCCCGCCCGAGACTTCCTTCCGTTTTACGCTGAACTGGCGCCCAACTCTCTTTTGAATTGGCGCCGCTCCCAGCAAGATTAACGCTCCCGCTCGAGGTTTCCGCCCTTTTTCCTGAAGATGGTGCTGTTCCTCGCCGGCGACAACCCCCGTCCCGGCAAAACCACAGCTCCCGCTGGATGCTGCCTCCTTTCTTACTCAAGGCGGTGTTCCTCCTCGCCGCCGAAAACCGCCGTCCCAACAAAACCAGCGTTCCCGCTCGAGACTTCGTTTTGTTTTACGCTGGACTAGCGCCCTACTCTGTTCAGCATTGGCGCCGCTCCCAGCAACAACAGCAGCCCTGCTCGAGAATTCCTCCCTTTCTATTCAGGGCCAGGTCCTTGCCTCACCGCCGACAGCCCCCATCCCCACCAAGGCAATCCTGTCGTTCGATACTTCATTGTGCTTTACCCTTCGCTGGGGTTCCACCGGCGGTCTCGCATCGGCGCAGCAAGGTGCGGGCATGTGTTTTCGAGGCGGGATCTGTTGAAATTCCTCGGAGGAGGTGTTTGCAAGACCTCATTGGGCGGGAGATCCGGGAATGGGAATAACGGACCCCGCTATGTAACAAGAGTCCCCAATGATGTGGATCGTTATCATGATGTTCGCATGCTTCGTGTGGAAACATCGCGCATGAGGGTAACATGATCGTTGTTGTTGTTGGTGTTTCTGTTGGTGTTGTTGTTGTTGGTGGTGGTGGTGTTGTTCGTGTTGTTGTTATAATTGTTGTCGCCGTCCCACCCGCGACCCACCCCGCGACCCACCCTGCGACCCACCCCGCGACCCGCCCCGCGACCCACCCGCGACCCAATCCGCGACCCACCCGCGACCCACGCCGCGACCCACCCGCGACCCACCCTCAAGGGAGGAGAAGTCACCCGGACCCGACAATTGACGTTTATTACACGGCCTTGGGCGTTGACTAAACAGCCCTGCCCTGTTCGATGCATTCCTTGTCTGCGTTTACTCAACGGCTTCGCTTGTCGGGGTGATTATTATGGGGTGGATTTTCTGCCTTCTACACCCGCGACCCACCCGTGATCCACCCGCGACCCAACAGCGACCCACCCGCGACCACCCGCGACGCATTTGCGACCCACCGGCGACCTACCCGCATTGGTTTAACGAAAAAATCGGCGCCTGCGGCGAGCTCGTGGTATAATTTGTGAAACTTTGGCGCCTGCGGCGGGCTTCTCCAGAGTCTCGCCAACTGCCGATGTCCCCACCGCCCCCTCACTCTTAACCGCATCTGCGGCGTGCGACGGTTGAAGAAGAAAATGAAAATCACTAAATGTTGTCTCTGTGGGCCCTCTTGGGGGACCTCTTGGAGCGCTCTTGGGCCTTCTTGGGGGCCTCTTCGGCTGTCTTGGAGGCATCTTCGGCCACCTGGACGCCATTGGTGGCCTCCCAGGTCCGTCTTGGAAGCCACATTGGTCATCTGGGACGCATCGAAGACCTCCCTGAACCCTTCTCACCGTTGTGCGTGCGTGGTGGGTCAGCATCGTAAGCAGCCTTGCAGATGTGTTGTTGTGACAGATTGTTGAACAAGTCTTGGGGCCGCATGAGTGCCCTCGCGGGGTCTCCGTGGGACCTCTTGCAGAATTCTCGCCAGTTCATCCAGCAACGATCGCCTGGCGAGTGGCTTTGATCAGAAAAGTGAAGAAGCACGCAGTGGAACGACCGCCTTGAAAGCGCTTTGGAGGCGCAGAGATTGTTGGTTGGAACATGTGTTGGATGATGTATCACATGTTCCCATGCCGCACCGGCTTCATTGGGGTCCCCTGGAGGCGGGGACATGTGTCAATGCGTTGTAAACACATGCTGCCACGCCAACCCGGCTAGATTGGACACCGTTCGTAGCTCGCTCTGTCCTTCCCTCCGCTGGAGGATCTCATACTGATCAGAGATGCAGCATGGGCGACGAAAGAGGCGGGAACATTTGTGGAAAGTGTTTGCATGTGTTCCCTTTTTTTCGGTGGTCTTATCGGGCCGTCGTTGAGTCAGTCTACGCGACGCGCAGTGTATTTTGTTTTGAGCTCTGGAGGCCAGAAACATCAGGTAGCCCTGACGCGGCGGGCGTATTGGGCCAGCATGGGGTTTTGTCCTTGCCGTCTTTGTTCCTTTCCGGTGCTGAGCTCAGGGCGCGATGTTCCTTTGTTGTTTGTCGCGCGTGCGTCCGCAGCTGCGACGGCTCAAGCTGTAGTCCTCCATCGACGACGACTGCGGTCGATTAGTCCTGCGCGGGCCACGACTGCGATCGATTGATTCCGTTCGGCCCTCTTGGGGTTTTTTGGGTGGGTCTGGGAGGCGTTCCACTGCAGGCTATGACACAAGCTTGCGAGGCGTTCTGAGGGGCTCCATCGTATTGTAGGGTCTTGCAGGGTCTTTGCATGGTCTTTGCAGGTTCTGTGTAGGGTCTTCGCAGGGTGTGTTTAGCAGGGGTATTGCAGGGTCGTTTTGAAAGGTATTGCAGGGTCGTTCTGCATGGGGGGCTTTGAAGGGTTATTGCAGGGACTTCGCGGGGTGTCCAAGGAGGAGGGTAGGGGGAGGGGTTCTCTTTGGAAGAGAGAAGCTCGTTGAACCACCTATGCCCAGAAGGCTGGTGGGATTGGCAACGTCAGGATCATAAACGGCGAAGAAATCGCAGGCGCAACGCCCAGCTCGCCCCACCGCCACGTCTGGGGGTGCCACGGTGGGAAGTTGTTTTTGTCAGGAGTAGGGATGGCAGAGGACAAGGAGGATGACAGGAGGAGGAGGAGGAGGGCCTGGGTCAGGGGCCGTCGCCCGCAGGCCGTGGGGGTGTACAGTGCTGACGTTCACCGCGCCCTCACACGCCTGCCCCTTGTGGCCACCGATCCTGAAGAGGGATTGGTGCCAGGGTCGCGGTGGAAGCAGGGAGGAGGAGGGGGAGGAGGGGGAGGAGGGGGAGGAGGAGGGGGAGGGGGAGGAGGGGGAGGAGGAGGGGGAGGGGGAGGGGGAGGGGGAGGAGGAGGAGGAGGAGGGAGGAGGAGGAGGAGGAGGAGGAGGAGGGGAGGAGGAGGAGGAGGAGGAGGAGGAGGAGGAGGAGGAGGAGGAGGAGGAGGAGGAGGGAGGAGGAGGAGGAGGAGGAGGAGGGGAGGAGGGGAGGAGGAGGAGGGGAGGAGTGTCGGAGGGAAGGCGGTCTCCGCCAGAGCGGCGCGCCGCCCCCCCCGCTTCTTGGAGCAGTTTTGGGAGGAGGAGGAGGAGGAGGAGGAGGAGGAGGAGGAGGAGGAGGAGGAGGAGGGGGGTCGAGGAGGAGGGGGAGGAGGGGCGCGCGCCGGATCGCAGGAGCGGAGGCTCGCGCCGGACCCCTTCACCTACAACACCCTGATAAGCACGTGCGAGAGGGGCGCGCGGCCTGGCGCCGCGCTCGAGCTCCTCGCGGACGGCGGGGGTCAAGCAGTGACGGAGCGTCCTGGTTTGTCTCATAGGCCCCGCAGAACGAGATGGCCGAACCCGTTGTCGTTTGCGCAGACGGTTTTTGCAAGACTGCTGGCACATATAATCGTTGTTCACGCGCCAGCCTTGCGATGTGAGAGCATTTCGTTCTTCTGAGGCCACTTCGTGGAACGCCAGGAAGGTCGGTCCCTGCTCACTGGGAAGGTGGGCCGGCCTCGCGTCGGTGCGAGAGGACCCTCACCGGAGCGACACTGCTGTGCGGGGCCAGTGGGCCAGTGGGGCCCCGACCCATTTTCTTTGATGGCACCCTGGTCAGCACACGCGAGAGCGCGGCCCCCGAGCCGCGCTCGCACTCCTCGCGGAATGGGGGGCAAGGGGCCCGGACCTGCCCTCCAGACCTCTGACGGCATGATTCGTTTCAATCGCGGCGTGTTTCCCTCGTTTCGGCCCTGGGGGGCCGCTGTGGGTTCCAGGGGCGATCCAAAGCGAATCAGGTGACGCAAACGTGATTCCTGGGGAAGTGTCGGAGGGTCCTCGTGGTGGCAGAATCCGTGCGGGAGGTCTGTGGCCGTTTGCGGCCTCTGGGGGCCCTCAGCGGGCCCCAGGACCGTGAAGAAACGGCTCGGGAGGAAGAGTTGCCCGCCGAAAACGAGGCCTAGGGTCGGGGATTCTGCTTAGCGTGTCGCGCCACCGGTTCTGGCCCACCACGCTTCGGCGCGACACATTCACCATGTCCCGAGCTTCTCGCCGCCCGCCCTCCCCACGGAGCGGATCGACACGGCACCCGATGGCAAGGCATAGCGTGTCGCCAGGGCTGGCAACTCAGCGCGCCAAGCAAGAGCTCCCGACCGTATTCTGGCGGCGCAGGGAGCAGCCCTTCGCTGGAGTGACCTTTGGTGCGGGCCCATTTGGGCCCCCTCCCGGTCGCCGAGCGCGATGCGATAGCAGCGGCCCGCGCGCCGCGGCCCCCTCAGAGCCGAGCGTCCGTCTTCGTCAGGGCACGTCCTTCATGCCAACTGTCGCACGTGGCCCAGCGTTTTGTGGAAAGCGCCTGGCGCGTCGCGGAGAAGCAGAAGGAATTTGGACGTCAGGAGGCTGATCGGGACTCGCTGTGACTGAGGGTCCCTCGTGGGTGGCCCGTGGACATCCTGAAAACAAGCAGCAGGTCACCACCGCGGCGGACGGGCGAATCGAAGGTTGCGCAGCCCGACCATGTTGGAGGAGACGGGAAAAGATCGGAGGCGACCCCCCCCGTTTGATGCTTATTTCGATGAGAGAACATCATGATAAAAAAAGAACCTCTTCCTCCCCGATCCTCCACGTCGAAGTACCAGGCCGCTCCCCCGCATCGGCATCGCGCCCGCCTTGGCACGCTGCGATGGCCGATCCTGCCACCGCCGATCTGGTCCCCGCCGCTGCCTGGCGTCGATCGCCCAGCGCGCCGCGTCACCCGGGCGTTTGCTCCGCGTTGGACTGCAGCCTGACCGCTGCGCCCCGCAGCGGACGCGGCACGGGGAGGAGATGCAGCGGAGGCTGCTCTCGCCCGAAGTCATCACCTACAACACGCTCATCAGCGCCTGCATGAAGGGCGACCAGGCTGGCGAGTGCAGGATGAGGAGGGCAGCAAGAAGCATGACACCCTATGGCACGCACACAAGCTTGGTGGCACCTGGGAAGTCCGAGGGCTGACGAATTCTTCAGCGGGAGCCCCTCTCCTCTGCCGAGCGTCTTCCTGCAATCTGAGGCGGCCAGCTCCAAATCAAGCCCGCAAGTGTCGGCAAGGACCAGCAGATACCAGACAGGAAGGGAGCCTCCGTAGGCATAAGGACGACGAGGAGGAGCGCTTCCAGATCATTCTGGGGGGAGTGCCGTGCGGAGTCCCACCACTGGAGTACGTTTGCTGACGTCGGTGAGCTACCCCGTTGGGGTCCGCTCGGAATGCGGTGCCATGCGCACGCAGACTGCCCCTGACAGCGTTCACAAAAGTGAGTTGCTGAAGAGTGCGATGGCAATCTCAATCTTCGATGAATCTACGCACTGCGTCGGCAGCGAGTGCCATTGAATTATGCATGCAGCAGCCTTGGGCTCCTCACGCGTGCCCCACCTCCCTCTCATCGCCCATGTCCTCGTTTGCTCGGCTGTCGCCACGGTCATTGCGTTTACTCATTCATTCCTGCTCGCTACGGCTCTACGCGCTTGACAGTGTGCTTGGACAGACTCACCAGATTGCTTCCCGGTGCCTGCACAAAACAGGAATAAGCAAAACCAAACTCATCAGAGCGTGTACAGAGGTCGAGCGGGCCGGGGAAGCAGGAACAGGCGGAGGAGGATCAGGAGCAAGATGAGGCGGGAGAAGTCAGCGGAGAAGGGAAGGAGGGAAGGAGCATGGACGCAGAAGGAGGAAAAGGAGTAAGAGGAGGAGGTGGAGGAGCAGAAGGGTCGAAACTTCCCAATCTTCAACAGAGGGACAGGACTGGGAAGAGGGGGGTAACCAGGAGGGGGTAGAAAAGGAGGGAGAGAAGGGGATGAGGAGGAGGAGGAGGAGGAGGGGATGAGGAGGAGGAGGGAGTGCAGATGCGGAGCGAAGACCCATAGGCGCAGACAAGAGTCAAGAGCTGCGGGCACAGCCAAGAATGTAAAAGGATGCCATGTGCCGTTCGCATACCCGTCAGCTCGGTCTCAGGTCTCAGGACGTGTCTACGACAAGGTGCACTCGCACATCTTGAGAGCACCATGACAAGCACGAACAGAAACTCGATGCGTGCAGCGAGGATCATGCGATGAGAATGTCGCGATGAGGAGTCCATGAAAAGGTAACCTCCGACATCGATCGTACGATGGCTGTGCGAGGATTCCGCGGGAATGTTGCCAACTTGATACAAGGGTCCCAAGAGGCCGATAGGGTATTACGCATATGAGTTTGGTTTGCGTGTGCATCCCATGCTTTTTGACATGCGATGGCCTCAGAGGTGGCCAGAAGGGCTCCAGGACAGCCCAAGAGGGGTCCCCCCCCCTCCCAAGCGTCCCAAGAGAGAAGGCCTCAAGTCGGGCCAAGAGAGCGCCGGCGGAGCCCGGGACGGGCCCAGCGGAATCCCCGAGACGCTTCCACGACGACACAAAGGATGGGTCGCAAACGGGCTGGTGTCTTTTGGTGTTTCGGGGGCTTCCCCTGAGGTGGCTCCGAGAACAACCCCAGACAGCCCAATGGGAGCACCGCAGCGGTTCAGAGGGGCCCATGCTGCCCAGCAGGCCCCGCGAGGCTAGAAGGAGAGCGCACGAGGGCCTGACGAGAGGTCCCAAGATGCGCGGAATGAGGCTCAACCGGTAGCAACGGGCAGCGAGCAGCAGGAAGCCTCAGAAGGTATTGCGCAGCCGCAAGCGGCAGGACGCAACCGCCAGCAGCGGCACGCATGACCTAGCAGAAGAACACACCAGAAACCAGCGGCAATTATTTATCATTCCCCAGCGGAAATGAGCAGCACGAAACAGCAGGAAACAGCCCAACCATTACAAGAATGTGCGTCTGCAGCCCAATGCCCCAATGCCGGGAATCGAGGCCCTCAGAACGAGTGTTTTTTGTCTCGCACAAGAACAGTCGATCGCGGCCCTGAGAGCGAGGAGCCAACGCATTGTTCTACAGCGGCTGCACCTGAGCGAAAGACCCCGGTATTCTCTGCAGTGTTGGGTGGACGCCCCCCTTCCCCGCCACCGCCATTTTGAATTGATTTTGACCGGCGAGCCCGTCGCCATTCTGCTTTGGGCGTCGCGTAATGGGGGGTGCGATAACTGAGGGGGCAGCGGGGGCTGCAGAAAAGCTGTTTTTTAGGACCCCATATCTGGACCTTCTAGGGCCCCAATGGGGGCCTTTAGGGCCCGAAGAGTGCACCTTTCTCCCCCCCCATTTATCGCCCCCCTCTTGAGCGCCGCCCCATTGCTGGCTGCTCCCCGCGCTTGTTTTTGCACGTGATTGCAAGCTCCGGCGCCTGGGAGCGCATGCGCGCGCTTGCGAGCGTTTGCGCGTGATTGGAGGCGCCCGCGAGCGCTGTCATCGCCTGCGAGCGCTTACGCGCGCCTGGGATCACCTGCGGGCACTCGGGGGCGCTTGCAAGCGTTCGGCGCGTGCGACCGCCTGAGATTGTCTGGGAACGCCCGCGGACGTTGGAGAGTGCGTTGGGGAGCGCCTCGCGCCCGATTGTCGCTTCTTTTCATTCGTGCTAGCAGAAAATGGAAGTGATTTAGGCAAGATTCGCCGTTAGTTTTTCCCTGGGAGTCCAAACTCATTGACTTGGGAGATGTGCCCCCGCCGAGCCTTTTTCAAGTAGTGCCAGCGACAGCTTTTTCTCGACTCGGGCGTCATTTAAATGAGCCTCCGGGCTGATATTGTTGCACTCGGAGCGAGGACCCATTTTTGATAATTCCCCCAATCATGAAGGACAATATCCGACGCTAGGGGTCATCAAAAGCCTTAGGGGATGCTGCTACGTGTCAACGGCACGGTTGCAGGGGTCGGGGGCGTGTTGTCGTTTCTTTTTCGCAGTCATGGAGAGACTTACAAATAACGTGGCTTGCAGCATTGCAACAGACCGTGTCGCAGCCTTGGTGGGCCCGATTACACACGCTACTCCAGAACGCATACCAACATCGAGCCAGAGCCAGCCGCTGCAGATATCTGAACTGCACGCCAGCATATACAAGCTCACCGCTTCACCGCCACTGGCCGCAGCGAACATCATCTACAAAAAGGGCGACACCTGCTGGGGGCAGCGGATTTACAAATAAAGACTTACAGACCTCTCAGACAGTGTTGTATGGTCTTCGAATCTTGGAGGGCCCACGGGGGAGCACAGCTGCGCCGTGGAGCCGGGGATCCTGTTGTGAACCATGGCGCATGGTTAAGTCGGGCATATCCCTCTACAGGAGGAATATTCAAGAATAGCATGCGAAAATAATGTGGGGATGATGTTTCGACTACTTTTGGACTGTATAAATTTTTGTGGACTATATTTTATTTTGCTTCCAGAATCCGCCTGTAGGAGGACATGCCCGACCTAAGCGTATGGCGGAGGTTCAGGGTGTCGCCCCGTCCGGTGCCCCCTGTGTCGCAGAAGGCAGCGCTTGTGCAAAAGAGACCTCTATGCGGCTTGCTGGATATCATATGTTGCCCGGGTTCCGTGCATAGGTCGGCCACGGTAGGTCGGGGATGTGCGGATGTTGGAACGAGGGTATAGAGTTGGAGGTCATTCTGGGTACCCCTTGTTTTGCGCTCAGGCTGAGAATGCGACGAAGTGTTTCCAGGACATGCAGGCCGAACGCTTTTCTGGAGGGATCCTCTTTTGGCCCATGCTGGGAGAGCAGCTGTTTCTGTTGACGACATGCCGTTTTGACAAGCATGCGCAAACGCGAGCGAGAGGTCACTGTCTTCGCTTGTTGGGGATCAACCTTATCCCTTCCGTGATCATTCCCGATGTGTCGGCGTCGCTGTCTTAGTGGTTGGAACTTGCATTATCTTGTTTCATCCGTACACGTATGGAAGGAGCTGCACCGTTGCCGTTGCGGCTATTCGGTGTTGCCATTGCATGCGGTCGTCGAATTTGTGTCATGGAATTGTTGGTGTTGTTGGCGTCGGAGTGGCAGCACGTCTTGATATTAATGTTGCCTGTGCCGCTGTCGTAGGGATCTCATCTTTCCCCTCTTCATGTCTTCACGAGGTGATTCCCGTCGTAAGCTGGGTACTTCTGTGGCTCGAATGGGCCTGTGGAGGCGTGGTGATGTGAGTGGTGGATATGTCGCATCTCCTCCAGGCTCCTACTGCTCCTCCTCCCTCTCTGATCCAACCTCCCTCATCATCCCTCCTCCTGCTCGTCCTCTTCCGTCCTCCCTCCTCGTTCTTCTCCCGCTTGTGCCGCACCAGAGGCCTCAGCTGAACTTCAGGCATCCACCGCCTCCGCCAGGCGTGGCGTGCTCTGGACTGCGAGCCCGTCGCGTCGTGTGCTCTCCCCTCCTCCGCAGACGAAGGCCTGAGCCACGGAGGTGAATATACGCTTCCTGCGTGCCACCCCGCCCGCCGCCACAGCGGGGCCACCTTCAGCGAGGAGGTCCGCGATGCCTCCCCGAGCCGGGATGGGTGGCGTCTCAAGGGGGAAGGGGGGATTACACCACCAGGAGGACTACTAAAACGACGCGAAGATCGGGACATAATCGGATCGGGATAACTCGAAATCTCTGAGAATCGGCGGGTTTGGAGGATGTATTGGGCGCCGCGGCCGCTCCAGAGCGTTCCGGAACGCTCTGAGAGCGCTCCGGAATGCTCTGGAGCGACTTATCCCGATCCTAGCCCTGTTTTAACTACCCCCTTGGCTCCTCGCGCTGGTGGTGGTGGTGGCGGTGTCGCCGGGTTCCTGCCCGAGCCTTTCCCCTCTTCTCTGACCCCCCCTCGCGCGCTTCACTCGCTCACCTCGTGCACCTCATTCTGGCCCGAGCGCCCACCATGGGCCACGTGCGGGTCGCTAGGCCATGTCCAGACAGTGCACCGCGCCGCCGCCGCGTGGCCCCGAGGAGCAGGAGGAGGAGGAGCCGGGGCCCCCCTTCCCTCCAGTTCGGACATCGAGACCAATGCGTGTCCACTGCCTCTGGCCAGGAGCATCATGGGTCCAGGAGCGGCCTGTCTGTCTTCGTGGCCAAGCCAGGATGGCGTATACATCGCTCCTTGTCGCAGGATTGACCTGGCCAAGGGCAGTGGACACACACATCTATATATATATATATACACATACATATATATATATATAGAGAGAGAGAGAGAGAGAGAGAGAGAGAGAGAGAGAGATCCCCGTGCACGAGGCCGGGGCGCCCGGGGCGGCGACCCCGACGGCGGCGCATGGGGGGACCGGGGCCTCTGTGGCTCCCCGAGACAGCCCCAGGCAGCCCCGAAACGCCACCCGAGAGTCCCAGGAAGTCTCCAAGCGTCCACGAGGGCCCAGAATCCCCAAAGTGTCGCTCCAACACGCCGACGATGGCTCCAAGACGGCCTCCAGGAGCCCCACGACGGCCCAAGAGTCCCCCAAGAGGACTCCCAAGAGCACCTCCAGAAACAAAAATGGCCACATTCCCCTTGGAAGACGTACATGTTTATAATATTCACCGCTTCGGCATCGACCGCGTCGAAGGCGGCCCCACGAGCCGACCAGATCGCCCCAAGACGGCCAAAGAGAGTTCCAAGAGGCCTCCAAGGCGGCTCCAGAGGGGCCCTCGACTGTCCAGGGCACCTCCAAGACAGAGACGGTCCCAGAGGGCCCCCGCACAGCTTCTTCCCCACACAGCCCCGAGAGGTACCCCACCCGACATGTCGAGCCATCCTCCCCAAAGAGCACCCAGGAGATCCTAAGAAACCTCCAAGAGCCCCCGAAAAAAACTCGAATAAGCGGGCCCCACGGGGCCGCCAGGAAGCACCAAGAGGCTCCCAAGAGCCCTCTCCCCAGACGCCCTGAGGTACTCTGGCAGATCCCGAAGCTTCCGGGCAACTATCGGCATCCTGAGGCCCCCAACGGGCCCGGTACCGTCAAACATTTAGAACGAAACTCTGGGCCTATGGAAGTTGTTCGGACTTCCGGTCCACTCCAGGGACCCCGCATTGAAAAAATCACGATATCGGACATCTTGGTCAGGATGACAAGCCGGTCCCGTGGAAGGGGCCAGACTTCCAGGAGCCGACGTAGAGCGAAAAAATCACGGCGCCAGAAGACCGGGCATCCCTCCCTCCACTCGCCCCTCCCCCCTGGCCCTCTCGCGTCATCAAAGGATCACGAGTGGAAATGTGCGGCCGTTTGCGGCCACCGGTGGCCCTCAGCCGACTCCAGGACCATCAAAAAACGAGGATGCAAAACCCGTCTTGGGGAAGGCGTCCCGACCTCCGGGAGCCGACGTAGCAAAGATATCGACTTCAGCCACGTGTGTGTATATATATATATATATATATATATATATATATATATATATATATATATATATATATATATATATATATATATGGGTAGGGGGTCCCGGGGCCCCCGAAAGTGCACTGTTTGGTCTTCTGGCCGTTTCGGGCCCGGCGGGGGGCGCCAAAAAACGTCAAAGGGGGCCGAGAGACGGCCCAGAGGGCGCCAAGATGGCCCACGAGCGCTCCAAGAGAGCCCAAGACCGCACAAGAGCGTTTCAAAGTTGGTCCAACCTGCCTTGAAGACAGCCCAAGAGGGCTTCAAGACGGCCAATATGCCTTCAAAAGGACTCCCACGAGGCACTCAGGAGGCGGAACAAATATGTTGTTTTCGATTGTTTTTGAAGGTGTTTCGTGTTCTCGCTGTTTCGTGCTTCCGACGGTCCAAGACAGCCCACGAGGCCCCAGAAGTCAGCTCAAGACGGCCCTAGGGGCACCCAAAGAGGGCCCCACGACGGCGCAAGAGAGCCCCAAGACGGCCCAAGAGTGCCCCAAGACGACCCAAGAGGCGCCCAAGATCGCCCAAGAGGGCCCCAAGACCGGCCCAAGAGGGGCCCAGGAGGGGGAACACGAACCGACAATTCGAGCCTTCCGCCCCAAGAGGCCTCGAGGAGGTCCCAAGAGGCCCCCAACAAAGCCCAAAAGGACCCCGAGAGGCTCCCTAGAGGCCCCACGAGGCCCACGAGGCCCCGAAACCACCCCAAACGGCCCCCAAGAGGCCTGCAACATTGTCTTCAAGAGGTCCCCGGGAAGCCTCCCACGAATTCCAAACGAACGTCCACGAGGCCTCTAACCCACAACCCAATCACGGTGGCGGGATGGGCCGAAGGCCACTATCGGGAATGTGAGCCGAGAACCCGAGATCGTCGCCCAAGGAGACCCCCAGGAGGAGTCAAGAGGTCCCCATGAAGCTTGGCGACAGGTCACCAGTCGATGGGAGCGGAGGGGGAGGAGTGAGGAAGATGCCAGAGGAAACACAGAAAGATGACCTCATTATTCATGATCGCCTTGTTGTCTCGATGAAGGTCAGCACTCGACCAGCTAGAACCTAAGCGCGCGCGAAGCGCGCGACGATTCTAAATACATTGATATACACCTGTGTGTATATGTGTGTGTGTTTGTATTCACATGTTACAAACATGCATACTACAGACATGCATGCATGCATGCACGCATGCATGCATGCATGCATGCATGCATAAAGACCGACTGACTGTCTGACTGACAGACAGACATGCGTATATGTACAGTCGCCCTGCCAATACTCCATCCTCCTCCTCATCATTCTCCTCCTTCTACTCCTACTCCTGCTCCTACTCCTCCTCCTACTCCGCCTCCTCCTCCTCCTCCTCCTCCTCCTCCTCTTGCTCCTTCTCCTCCTTGTCTCGCGTTTTTTCCTTGTGTTGTCGTTCTCTTGCTCTCGCCTCAAGCTCCAATCCAGTCCTGTCCTGTCGTTTCCTCCTCCCTTCTCTTTTCCAGGCCTGCCTCTGTGGAGGCAGGCCAATCCACTGTCCACTCCTCCTCATCCTCCTTCTCCTCCTTCTCCTGTCGGGGGCGGCCAAGAGGGGGGCGTCTAAGAGGGGGGGGGGCTGTCCATAAACCACGTGGTTCTGTCTCGGCAGTCTACGGCCTTGAGTCGCCCAATCATCACTTGTAATCCTTCGACGGCATCGGCCTGGAGCCGTCAACTTCAACGCAAACCGTCTACTCACCTTCGACGGCCTGGTGCCGAACAGCGCCAGCTCGATCTGAGGACGTCCTCTGCTGGAGTCCACCACCCTCGGTAAGGCATGGGTTTGGTGGTATCGTAGTGGTTAAGTAGTGGTTCTAGTCGCGTTCTAGTCGCGGTCTTGTCGCGACTAGAATTCTAGTCGCGTTCTGGAGTCCACCACCCTCATGGCTGCCCATTGCTCGTCCTGGAGACCGCCCTGGACTGCTCGGGGGGTCTCTTGCGGCCAGCTGGGACCACTCGGGGGACCGACCTGTGGAGGCCAGCCGGGGCTACCTGAGGGGGCTGCCCATTCTCGCAAACCGAAAGTTTGCCATTGCCATTGTCCCTCCTCCTCCTCCTCCTCCGCCTCCTGCTGTGAAAAGCAGCAGGGTTCTTCTGCCCCGGCTGCTTGGCCTCGCCGGCGCTCCGCGCCGTGAGCGTCACAACAATGTCGACATTGGCCTCCAGGCCAGAGGGCCGGGCCGTGAGGCGACATGACAACGTCGAGCTTGCCCGGGCGTTGCGGAGCGCCGGCGTGGCCTGGCCATGTCCCCAGGCCAGTGGGGCCCAGGCGCGAGGCGAGCAGAACGTCAGAGGGGCGGCTACTGGCAACCGTGGCCGCAGCCACCACCACCACCACCAGGATCGGGGGCGGCCAAGAGGGGGGTGATGACTAGGGGGGGGGGGGGGTGTTATGGCGGGGACCACGAAATATCCCCAGATTTCATGGCGCCTCGTCTTATTTCAATACGTCCCCAGCCCCCCCCTGGGTCGCGCACGTGCCGCCAGTCATGGTTTGCGCACCCCCGCCCCTCTTGGACGCCCCCCTCTTGGCCGCCCCCGACAGGAAAAGGAGGAGGACGACGACGAGGAGGAGAAGGAGGAGGAGGAGAGCGTCAGCGTCGGGGTCATCGTCGGCCGCCCCGCCGACCGCCACGCCGAAGACCGCCGAGGAGAGCGGGGAAGGAGACAGGGGTCAAGCAGTGGCGAAGACTCCTGGCTTGCCTAGAGGCCCACCAAAGAGTGTTCCGAGAACCTTTTGTGGTTTGGCCGAAGTTTTCTCAGAACATGTATGGCTGAGGCCGTCTTGCTCTCACACATCGGGGCGGATGTTCGAAGATCATGTTTTGGCTGCTCGAGCATCTGGGGGCTTCTCAGAACATGTCGTGGCAGGCCTCTTAGAATGCCGGGACGGTCGTTCCCTGCACCAATCGACTACACGTAAGAGTGACCCTTCGCCGGAGTGACCTTTGGTGCGCGCTCAGTGGGGTCCCCCGATCGCCGCGCTCGGGGCGAAAGCAGCGTCCTTCGCGCCTGTGTTTGGCCTCCTCGCGCCTCCAAAAAGCCGCGCACCAGAGGTCATTCCTGCCCGGGGTCACTCTTACGTGCAGCCGCACCCAGGGGCGAGGGGCCCCCGAGAGTTCTCGGCGAGGGCAGCGCGCTCCCGAGGGCAGGCCCGCCGCCGCGGCTGGCCCTGCAGAGGCCGGCCAGCGCCCGCACCACGCGGCGATGCCGAGTTGGCACGCCGTGGTCGGCCGCGCGCGCCGAGGGGGGGTTCTCATCGGTCGTCAGAGCCCCGAATCATCAGGGGAACTCGGGTCAGGGTTAGCTCGGGTTCGTGTTTCGGGAATCCGAACCCGAGTTACCCCGGATAACTAACTCGGGCGTCCAGAGCCCCAGTGGGCCCCACATCATCAGGGGTAGCTCGGGTCAGGGCTAACTCGGGTTCCTTTTTTTCGGGAATCCAAGCCCGAGTTACCCCGGACCCGAGTTACCCCGGATAACTCGGGCGCCCAAGGTAGGTGTTTTTGGATTTTCAGATTCCAATATGCTTCAAGCGCCTTCCTACTTCAATGATCGAGTGGCTTCGCCTTTTCCGCCTCC